GGGGGGAGTGACAGCTTAGAGAGGAGCACGTTGATTAGTGGGCCAAGGAAAGTGGGGAGTCCTTGTGGGGGAGGCGGTGCTCACTGGCGTCTTCAGAGGTGGGATGGTGGCATCCTGAGTAGCTTCCTTTCTTCCAGGATTCCCCCAAAGAGCTTGGCCGCCTCTAGGGCGCAGCCCCAGTGGATGGTGAGCCCGTAGCCTCCATGGCCATAGTTGTGGATGACCTGGGAGAGGCAAGAGAAAAGTTGGCCTGGTCTGTCCTGGAAGATCCAGGAGCTTTCTGAAGAGTCCTGGGCACCCAGGAGGCACCAGAGCTCCTCTCAGCGCCCTGATGGGAGGGTGGGGGACCCTGGGAACAGCAGAAAGGAGATTGTTTGGGGACCTGGGGTTGACATCATAGACTCCTCTTCTGCTTAGCAAATGGACCTGCTTTATATATGCTCAGCACAGGAAACGTAGAGTCATCTAGAACTCAGGTCAGAGATTCCCCACCCTCACCCCCATGCCCTGCCACACGCAAACACACACACACACACACACATCAAATTGTTGTAGTTCCCTAAATCACTGTCCTCGTTCACATCTTGCTCCAGACTGCTGAACCCCTGTGTTAATAGATGACTCTTCTACCCACGTTGGGAGAAAAAGAAATGCAGGGGCACCATATGGGTGGACTCTGGAGACAGAGGCAAGACTCTCTGGACCTTTTTCAAAGCAGAAACCTTTCGCAGGGAGTTAAACTCCATATGTGACTCTCCCTTCTATACGCACACACAGAGTCACACACCTACACACACACACACACACACACACACACACACACTAAGAAAGGAAGGGTGACTTAGATAGGGAAGATTGCTTTCCCAGCCATCACCCACCCCTGTCAGTGCCTTCGGCCCAGGACAACTCCCATCATTTTAATAAGCCCCAGAGAGATGATGGGGCAGCCACGAAAGGACATCTGGGAAATGGCGCTGGAGTCAAATTCAAACCACATCCCAGCTCTGCCCCTCAACAGTAGTATGATTTGGGCGAGTGACTTCACCATTGGAGTCTCATTTTGCTCATCTGAAGCATGGGAAGAACAATCCCAATCCCAAAGAGCTGTAGGGGAGATCCCAAAAGGTCGTTCGTATGGTGGACGCAAAGTAGATGCTCGGTAAGTGCCCATTTCCTTCTATTCGACCACAGGCTTTAGCAAACTGAGGCACTGCCCTCTAGGTAACCTTGATCAGCTCCTTTGCCATCACTGAGCCTCAGTTTCCCCACTTATAGTGAAGGGGGTATTAGCCATCACTGTCCCTGCCTGCCAAGAGGTTGTGTGGAGCCCAAGGTCAGGCAAGACTGTTCCCTGGAAGTGCCAGGAGCCTCTTAGGAGTGGGGAAGTCATTGCTTTCCTTGCCAGGAAAGCATACCTCTGTGTTTGAAGATCCAAAGCGAAGCTGTTCTCTTTCTAGCCGAATCTGGGGGCGCACTGGCCGGAAGCCAGTCAATTCAGCAACAATTTTGGCATCCTGGAAAGAAAAATGTTAGTACTTCATCTGTGGATTTTTTTTTCCTGCTGCCATTTTTAGGTAATAGTCGGCTTTCTAAATCTCATTATCATTACCACCACCACTAACACCATCACTGTCTCTTTTATTAATCACCACTACTATCATCACCACCTTTATCAGCCACCAACATCCTTACTATCACTACCACCACCTCACCACCAGTTCGACCAACTACCTCATCTTCACCAACCACCATCACCAGCATCCACCACCATGATATTATCAACAATTACCACCTCACCACCATCCTTATCACCACCCTCAACGTTTTCATCAATACCAACCATTATCCCCTACCCCCATTCCCCACCCATCACCGTCACTATTGTCATCGTCACTAGGAGGCAAATGTGAAAACTGAGATTTTTGCAACAAATACACCTGCTCCCTGTGAACACAGACTAAGGTGTTTTGGGAACGTCACCTCAAGAGAGAGCAACTCTTAGCCATGATCCTAGAGGTTTCATCAGCCCACAGCCAGACTTCCCTGTACATTATCAAATTCTGGTGTATTCCACAGACCCTTGCTGAAATTAATTTGCCCAATTCCCCAGTGCTGGAATCTTCCCATCCTCAAGTGTCCTTATGATCAAGTTGCCAGGATCCTGATCTAGGGCACGGATACCGCTCCCCACCTTACCTTTAGCGTGGGCTCCAGTCTGCAGCAGCCTTCCCAGATGGTGTTGTGGTCTTGAATATTGTTCACCTCACTCCAGTTCCCCAGCTGGAAGATGCCTCCAAGAGTCACTCCCTGGATCCTAGATACAAGTAAAGATGAAGGAAAATGAAGCCTTTGAGGAGAATGGGGGTGGTCATCATGTTCACCCTTACCACCATGTAGACCTAAACCACTACTACCCCAACATTGTCATCCCTGCTCACAAAGCCATCAACACCACTGCAGTCGCCAGCACCATCGACTACCACCTCCACCATCACCATTTACATCGCTGTCAACGTTGTCATCTCTTCCAACGTATAGCATAGTGACCATAGTTAACAATACTGTATTATGTACTTGAAAATTGCTAAGAGAGTAGATCTTAAATATTCTCACCACACACACACAGAAGAAATGTAACTATGTAAGGTGATGGATGTGTTAACTATGCTTATTGTGATAATCATTTTGCAATATATGCATACATCAAATCATCATGCTATACATTTTAAAAGTACCTAATTTATGTGAATTATATCTCAGTAATGCTGAAAAAAAATATTGCCATCTCCATCAACATCATCTTCACTACTGCCTTTCTTGCTGCCATTAATATGTCATCACCATCAACTCCAGCCACCATTTCCATTACCATCGTTAGCCACTGATATTGTCATCTCCACCACACCACAAATATTGCTGTTGAGACAGTTGGCACAACCACATTAACATTGCCTTTGAGACTGTCATCCCTGCCACACTACTAACATCATCACTGATCATGTCATCTCCATCAGCACCAGCTACTGCCACCACTCCCAGTCACTACCATCATCAACAGTGATCTCCTCATCAATAACAATACTATCTTTCCTACCATTATTTCGCTATCAACAATATTGTCATCCAATCAGCACTACCACCATCTTCACTAACATCGTCACCTTTACTGTTAATATTATCATCACCATCAACCCCAGTCACCATTCCCACCATCACACCCATTATTGCCATTCATACCACTTTTTTTTAAGATTTTATTGGGGAATTGGGGGAGGAGAAGCGTTGGGGAATTGGAGAAGGGGACCAGCCAAGTTGTTGTTCTTCAGCCTTCATTGTGGAGGGCGCCAGTCGCCATCTGGCTTCTCGTCAGCAGCTTGTGGCCGCTAAGCTCAAGGTGCTGTGTTCAATCTTAGTTGTGGGTGGGCGTAGCCACCATCCCATGTGGGAGTTGAACCAGCAGCCTTGTTGTTAAGAGTGCACACTCTATCCACTGAACTATCCAGGTGGCAGCTCAGCTCAAGGTGCCGAGTTCAGTCTTAGTTGCGGGTGGGCGTAGCCCACCATCGAACAGGCAGTCTTGTTGTTAGGAGCACGTGCTCTCACCAGCTGAGCCACCCTGCCACCTGTTGGCAGCTCAGGGACAGCTCAGCTTGGGCGCAGCATCACTGGCCCATGTGGGAGTCAAACCGGCGGCCCTGTTGTTCAGAGCTTGCGCACTTAAGCCAACTCTTAACCAACTGAGCCACTCAGCCGGCCCCATTCATACCACTTCTTGTGTCTCCAGCATCACCCTTTTCTCCAGTGTCACCACTACTGTCATCTAACAGTACGTTCAAGACAGAGCCCAAGTAAGGCTAGGTCCTGCCTTCCCAGGGATTTAATTACACTTAAAAAAACACTGGAAGAAAAAACAAGGGGCATGGGGCATAAAGATGCCCTCTCTTTTGCCCTAGGATGTCATGTTTTTACCCTGGAATGATGTACGGGGACTTGTAGATGCCTCCATGTTGATCATGGGTGATAATGAAATGCTTCATCCAAGGAGCATCTACCTGTTGATAGAGGATGGAGTAGTCTCATCAGTGGAGTGGGATCAGCAGGCCCCTCTGCCCTGGCCCCCTCCAAGACCAGATGTCCTGATATGAGAGGCTGATTCTTGAACCCCTTGCCCCAAGTCTGCACCTGACTGCCTGCTCTTGCAGGATGAGCACCCTGAGAGCCACCCTGTTCCCCGAATCATTGCACATTCTCACCCACATGTTCACAGAAAAGCCGAGCACACGTGCAAATGCACACATTACCCTACCTCAGAAACACACACACACACCCATGCACCTACACACACATGTACACTCACAAATAGGCATGTGTCACGCACATGCACACTTACAGGGTAAGAGGCGATGTGGGCCAATGCTTACACATTCAGGCCCTTAAGCCACGTTGCTTGGGTTCTAATCCCAATTCCACAATTTATGACTGTGCAAACTTATGCATATTACTTAATGTCTCTGTGCCTCAGTTTCCACATCGGTAAGATGTCCATGGTGATATGATAGACCCCATCTCAAAGGGTTGTGGTAAGGATTAAATGAATTAACACAATAAAGTGATCAGGGCTGTGCTTGGCACTTCGTAAACACTCCATATGTGTTTGCTCTACTTATTATAACACAGGCATATGCAGCTCCCACATATGTACAAACATACACACACATGCTTTGCTATTAAGAAGAAATCCCAAAAGAAAATTTTGGTGTCCCTGATGCATCCTCTCTCTTTGGAGATGAAATAAGCAGGCGGCTACAATCTTCCTAGCAACAAAGTCAGAGGTGTCATCCTGCACCTTTGCACTCACCTTAATGATCTGCCCCCGGCCGGGCTGCAGCAGGGGGTCTGATTGCAGCTCCCCAGCCCGCACACCAGTGCAGTTGATAATCACATCGGTGTCTCCTCTTGCTACCTGGCAGCAAGCAACAAGGCAGGTGGGGTGGGAGGGTGTAAGGCCCCTGGTATCCCCTGACCCTCCCTCTCCCCTCCCCCACCTCGAAGATCTCAGCTCCCTATGGCACAGCAGTGCGGGGCTCAGTGAGGACTCCATGGGCATGGCTCCCAAAGTCCTCTGTGCCATTTACCTGCGGTGTGGCCTCAGAGATGTCCTGTCACCTCCTCAAGGCTCAACTGCCTTCGCTATAAAATGGGGGTGGTAACGCATGTTCATAGGCTACTGTGAGGATCCAGTGTGACTCTGGACTTAGAAAACAGTAATGTGCAAGGTGGGGACCTTCTTGAAACCTTCCAGAAGAAGTCCAAAAGCAAGCAGAGATATTTCTCTTCCTGCTTCTGTTTCCTTTTTATTACATTCTCTTGCCTTCTACTCTCCCAAGACATCTTCAGAAGGCATGTTGGAACCTCTAGTTCTGGGCATTATGGGCTACTTGACAGCTCAAGGATGTAGTCTGATGAGCACCCAATCTCCCAGCCCAGCCCCCGTGACTCCCCGCCCAGGTCAGTCATGGGTTACACACACATCACAAGGCACTGTTATCATTCATGAGCCCGTATTTGCCACACTGGGCTGTGAGTTCCTTGGGAATGAACGCTGTGCCTGAGTCAACTATATTTCCCAATCAGGGCTGGACCCAGAGCAGGTGCTTATTATGGAATGCCGGTAGCTACAAGTACTGAGCACTCCCCATGTCCCGAGCACTAGTCTAGGTGCTGGGATTGAGTGACGTCATAGAGCAAAGCTCCTGGTGCATAGCCAATGCCTGATGGCTGCTGCTACTATCATTATTATTGGTGATGGTGTTACTTCAAAGGTGAGTCAGCTGAGAACTGTGGCTTTGCAGAAACATCAACCCAGATGTCGGCAGGAGGCAACCAAGTGTCTAGAACTTGGGGGTGGAGTGCAGCCGATACCGGGGAGAGCAGCTACTAGCTCTCTGGCCCTAAAATTCAAGGAGGTTTAAATATAGGTCAGTTCTTAATGGCCACCATGATGCCACTGTCCCTTTGCTTCTGCCACCAATATCAGGGTAGAATGCCTGAGTCCTACTGGGATTGACAAAGGGCCTAGGGTTTGGGATGGGCCTCAAGGGAACCTGGAAGGCTAAGAAGGGGGCCCCCAGCCCAGCAACAGGAAGAAAAGGCCTCCCCTCTTCTTCTCTCTCCCACACCTGACCCCTTCCAGCCCTGTAGCTCACCTCCTCAAAAGACTCCACCTTCCTCTGGAAGAACTTCACTCCCCTCTCAGTTAACCTAGGATGATCAAACACATCAAAAAACCCAGTACTCAATTCCCTGTCCCATCTCTCCACGAGGATGGCATGGGGGACGTTTCCCAAATAAACTTCTGTCTCACAGGATGCTCTGTGAGAAAATGGCTGTATCGTCAAGTCAGTTCCTGAGCACCTTGATGGGTTAGTGGGCCATGAAATGTCCCTTGGGAAATCTGAGATGGTCCAAGCCCCTCATCAGTCAGATGGAGATGAGAGAAGGGCCTTGCTGAAGGTCATACAGTGAGTCAGTGATGGGACTGGGACTCGAACCCAAGCCTCTTATTGGAAATGCTTCCTCCTACCACCACATTGCTTTGTACTACCAAAGGCGATGAGATACGGCGTGGAGGAGGGGCAGGATTGGACCAATGCCACATGCCCCTTTGTCAGAAGCAGAGCATGAGGAAGGCGGCGGGCTGGGGACACACACACTTCCCTCTAAATATCCCAGTGGAAAAATAGCTGTCACTGTTAGAAATATAGTAGAAATATCAAAAGAATAGGAAATAAACTACAATACATAAAGGCTGAAGTACAACCTCAATATTATTATATCTACATCGTTTCCTCAACATAGAAAAACTGGGAACATTCTTTCCTGGAAGAGTCTAAACAGGAGTCATTATGTGTCCCAAGCTTAGAAGAAATTACCATGGTTTAGCACAGCGCTTCCCAAACCTGGCTGATAATTAAAATCACTCAGGAAACTTCCTTAAATACAAATTTATGAGCCCCATCCCAGAGGTTTTGGTTCAGTACACATGAATCAGGGTCCTGAAATCTATGTTTTTTTTATAACCTCCCTAGGTCATTTGATAAAAGCCACTATCTATTCCAGATTTTAAAACATCTTAATAAAATAGTAATATATAGGAAATATATGGAATCTTCCTTAATATGAATGTATGTGAATATAAATGTAAAGTTATCTCTCAAGCTAATGTTTGCTAATGTAGAACACTACAAGATTTCTATTTACATCAGGAACAAGACAGGGACATTCACTGTCATCTGTATTAGTTAACATTGTTCTGGAAGTACTGGCCATAGCAATTAGACAAGAAACAAAAGTGAGGCATAAAAAATGGCAACTTATGTTTTATAGATGATGAAAATATATCTGGAAAACTTGAGAGAATCCATTTAAAACTATTACACAAGCATTACAGATTTTAACGAGGTTCATAATAAATATCACATGTAAAAAACTGCCCACATGGTTCCGTTGCCCAACCAGGCGCGGGAACCATTGTCTTAGTGTCCAAAAGGGATCAGGACCAAGGATAGGTCCCATCATGCCTAAGGGTTAACATTTGGGGTTAGTCAATACAAAGAATCCAATGAACAATCATCTACGACAACCCTGGTCCCTGGGAGGTGTTTTCCTGAAACTGATGTTGAAAATCTCACCTTTCCGTCAGCCACTGTAGATATCTCCTCCCCTCCAGAATCAGGCTTGTGTTGAACCAGCCATAGCTAGAGTCACAGCAGGCAAATATGGGAATACAAGATCAGAATCAGAGCTATATTTGAAGGCTGTCAGATGGAGGTGGGAGCAGCATCGTCTTTTGGGCGCCCAAGAGCAGAGTCAAGACCATTGGATGAAGTTCAAGGGGGAAGTGGTTTTCAGCTCAATGCAAGGAAAATTTTTCTATCAGAGAAAGCCATCCTTGACATTGGTATGTGCAAGTGGAGACGACACACATCTGTAGAGGGGATTCAGGTATTGCAAGGAGAGGACCAGAGAGGCATGTAGGGAAAGGAATGAAGGGGTTTGGAATCAGACTGGGTTGGAATCCCATTTTGGTCACTTGGCTGTGTGACCTTGGGAAGTGACTTAGCCCCTCTGAAGCTCAGTTTCCTCATCTACAAAAGCGAATAGTGATTTGGAGATTATTGGCTTGAGATCTGTGATTCCAGATCCCCAATCCCCTTAGCCCAAGTTCCAATTTGCGTGGGAGGCCTCTCAGAAGAAGTTGGACAGAGCATCCATAGACCAAGGTCCCAGGAGTTCTAGGTCTGGAATAGGAAATTTGGCGACTCCATCTTCTGCTACTTTCTGGATAGGTATGTATGAACTGTGGGGCCTCAGCCCCTTTGCCCATGACAATAACCTTACCTGTAATCGGGGAACATGTCCAGCTCTCTTGGGGTCAGCTTCCGAAATCCCAGGAAAGTGTTCTTCCAGAAAGGGTCCTGCAGAAGAAGGAGAGAGGATGATGACTTTTTGCCCACAGGGATGGGCAAACATCAATAATAATGATAACAACAAAACCTTATATAATGTTTACTGTGAGTAAGGTGCTGTTCCAAGCACTTTATTTATATCACTCCACTTAATCTTCACAACTACCCATTGAGGTAGATACTCTACCTATCCCAGTTTTATTGATGGGCTGATTGAGGCTTAGAGAGGTTAAGTAACTTGTCTAAAGTCACACAGCTAATGAATGGTGGAACTGAGATCTGAGCCCACATAGTTTGGCTTCAGAGTCCAAATTCTTAACTATTATGCTATACTAAGGGTAAGAGTAAGACTGGGGGTGAGTGATAGGGTAAGGATCAGAAATATGGGAGAAAAAAAAGGGTGAACGTGAGAGTCACCAAGGGGTGGCAGTGGGAGGCAGCAAAGCATAGGGTCAACTTAAATGGAGATTTTGACCTCACCACTGACCATCTTGAATGCTCTGAGACTCAGTTTGCTGGTCTGTATCATGGAGTTAATTGTCACCCTTGGTCCTACGGAAGGTTAACAGGTAATGTGGTTAATGCCTTTAGCATGGTGCTAAATGTTAACTAACCCTTGGAGAGCTGGCATGGATGGGGTTCTGGGCACCCATCCAAATCACCCTTTCCAAGCGACCTGAGACCATCCCCCAAGGCTATGCCCTTCTTAACACATTGGGCACCATGTGGTCACAGAATGCCTGGGTTCAAATCCCAGCTCTGCCACTGCAAAGCTTTGTGAGCTCAGGTAGCTGACTCCATTTCATCTGCAAAAGGAGGATAATATTAGCACTTACTTCCTGGTTATTGTGAGAATTAAATGAGTTGCTCTTTATAAAATAGTTAGGACAGGGCCTGGCACACAGTAGGTACTTTTTTGTACAATATGAGTGTTTTAGTTCATCTTGATGAAAAGCCCTGGAACCTCCAGGGGTGCAGGAAACCTTTTGGTGTTAGCACCAAGTGCCCACCACTACAGGATGTGTCTGAGTTTTACCCATACCAATTAAAAGCTATCCCCTTGTTCATCAGAAGATTCTTTGGTCTCTGCCAATTTTATAAACAAAAAATTGGAAACAAAAATAATTTTTAAATGGGCTGGCTGAGTGGCACATTGGTTGAGAGTTGGCTTGGGATGCCAGCTCTGAGCAGCAGGTCCCCGGTTTGGGTCCCACATGAGGGCCAGTGATGCTGCACCCTCTACAGCTAGGATTGTGAACAGCAGATCGACCTGGAGCTGAGCTGCTGTGGGTCGCCATCCATGGTGTAGGCTGCAGTGGGGCTGGCCAGCAGCTGTCATTCACTTTCATGAGCTGCTGTGAGCCGCTGTGAGCGGCCACCCAATGGCAGGAGAGCAACTGCCTCACCCGGGAAGAGCGCAATGATAGTACCAGCATGGGCCAGTGAGGCGACGTCCTCCACAACTAGACTGAAGAACAAAAAGGACAGCAACTTGTCTGTTCCCCTTCCCTGATTCCCCAATGCTGTTCCCCTCCCCCCAATTCCCCAATATAATCTTAAAAAAAATTTAAAGCAAAAATAGATTTGAAGTAAGCCTGTTTTGGGGTGGCCGGATGACTCAGTTGGTTAGAGCACGTGCTCTTAACAACAAGATTGCTGGTTTGATTCCCACATGGGATGGTGGGCTGTGCCCCCTGCAACTAGATTGAAAATGGCGACTGGACTTGGAGTTGAGCTGCGCCCTCCACCACTAGATTAAAGGACAACAACTTGACTTGGAGCTGATGGGTCCTGGAAAAAACACAGTTACCCAATAAAAATTAAAGACAAACAAACAAACAAAAATAAATTAAGTAAGTAAGCCTGTTTTGCACATAGAAGTCTCAAAGTACTCCCCAGATTCAAGGCCCCAGCCTGAGTCTGTGATCAAGGCTCTGCCCCATGGTCATGGACTCCTCACTCACCGGAACAGCTTCACAGAAGAGGTTGTAGCCTGAGATTAGGGCCAGGCCCATGTTTGCAGCATTGGGAGAATTGATGTGGCTCAGGAGATAGTCGAAGGTCTGCTGGTTCCAATGCCTGGAAGGGTCCCCCAAAGTATCATCACCTAAGACCCTGAGCTGGGTAAGACAGCTTTGAGGGTCAGCTTGCATGGGACTATGATCAGGCTGGTGGGGATGTGTCCAAATCCAGAAATCCACCATGTTCCACTCCTGCAGCACCCCAAGTGCCTATGAGTCTTCTACTTCCCAAAACTTTCCAGCATTTCCCCATTAATAGGAAAGAGAAGAGGCGGAACAAATGAGCTCCATCACAACCATTTGAAGCCCACCTCTGTCTCGGGATCATGTCGTTTTTTTAGTTTAAATGAAGACTTTGACCTCATTTGGAGAGTGTGAGCCACATGGTTCAGGCTCTCTCTGGGTGCTTCCCATTGTAAACACAGGTGGCAGACATAAGCTTGCTCCTCCCAAACGCGTTCCTCTTCCCGCTGGGCACACAGCTCAACTACATTTCCCAGACTCTCTTGCAGCTAGGTATGGCCATGTGACTGCATTCTGGCCAATGGGCCCTAAAAACTCCGCACACTTGTTCCTCATGCTATGCTCCTTCCACAGGGGCCAGCCCTTAAGAATGGCAATGGCGGAAGCCACAGAGGAGGATGGCGGAGCCATGAGATGGAAGGACCCTGATCCCTGAATTGCCACCCACTGATCAGGAACATTGGTTTTTGGAATTTATGAGAAATAAGAATGAAACTTCTGTTTCAGCCATTATTCATGTCTGGCTTCCTTTTTTGACGCAGCTAGGGGTTTCTAAACTAACATAATGACCTTTGCAATGTCTGTGCTAAACCTGAGCATTGATCCACCCACTTGGAAGTATTCCAGATTCATCGAAGCATATAGCATCGACAGCCACCTGATTTAGGGGAAGAACAGAGACAAAGCCTCCATCTGTCTGGCACACATCACTTCTATCACTGCTAAGATCAAGTAAGTGTAGCATCGATCTGGCACATAAAAGGGGCTTAATACTTATTATGTTCTTCACACGATGCCAGGCCATAGCCTCCACAAAGGGTTTGTTCTTGGTGACAGGGACCTTTAGAGGGGTCACCCCTCTGCAGACTCAGCATCTCTGGCCCCCCCTGGCCACCCTCTGGGGCCCTCACTCACCTTTCCTGTGGGTTTTTGGGGTCGGAGACATAGGGCTGACAAAGGCCGGCAGCCACGTCGGTGTTGGTGAATGGGGTGAAGCGGTCTGCATAGACCTTTATGTCCAGCGACTGCAGGACTGGTTGGTAGTGCTCATGAATGCAGAGAGCAGTGGACAGTCCTATGACCCCAGCTCCGATCACCACCACACGCATTGTGCCAGCCTGCAGAAAAGAAGGGTTGAGGCCTGCCGTCATCACCATCCTCTCCATCACCATCGCCACCATCGCCACCATCCACTGAAGGCTTAGAAAATGCCGGATATTGCCAAATCATTTTTATACTTGATCTTCTCACAAATGGAAAAACTTGAGGAATGGAGAGGCAAAGCAACTTGCCCAAGGTCACACAGCTGATAAGTGATACAGCGTTCTCTGGGTAGCCTCCCCACATACCCTGTACCCCGCTGGGAATATAAAAAGGGCCTAGCAGAGTGCCTGGCCAGCTCGAGGCTAGGGAGAATGGTTAGGACAGTGGGCTCTTGTTTTCAAATCTCAGATCTCAGCTCTGCCGCCTACTGGCCATTGATTTTGGGCAAGATGCTTCATGAGTCTCATTTTCATCTGAAAAATAGGAAAATTAATTCATGCCTCAGAGAGTAGATGAAAGATTTCTCTAGATGGCAAATGTAAAAAGCTTCACACAGTGTCTAGTACAAAAGAAGTGACTTACTGACATTTGTGAAGCGCCTACTCTGTGCCAGCCCCAGCACTAAGTGCTTCCTGTGCATTATTTCATCTAAGTCTCCCAACATTCTTATGACATAGGGACTGATGGAATTGGTTCCACTTTGCAGATGAGGAAACTGAGGCTCAGAGAGATCAAGTCACTTACTCAAGGTCACACAGCCAGGAAGTGGTGCTGCTGGGATTTAATTTCAATTTAAGTAAACTCGATACACAATTATCACAGGCCTACTGTGTGCCAGGCTGGCAGCTGTGGATGCAGCTGTGAGCACATCAGATGCAACGTCTGACCTCAGAACTCAGGTCTTCCAGCGCACTGCCTTGGGGTGCTAGGCTTCTTGGGTCCTTGGAAGTTTCGAAGGCCAAGCAGCTTTTGACCTTGAAGCTGCTTGGGTCTGCACAGCAGGGAGATGTTCTGCTGGCTCCTGCTGAGGCAGAACAAGGGGATGTTTTGTGCCCAGAAGGGCTAAATTCAACTTTCCCTCCTCTTTACTCACAGCTCTCTTCCCACAGAACTTGACTCCTGGCAACTTGGGCCTGTGGCCCCGAGTGGCAGGACATTCTCAATATGGCCTAGTTTTGTAAAGGGGGAAAACGGCTCCAGCCTACAAGAACTGGACTCTGTTGCATTTCAGCAGCCAAGTTGGAGATAAAACCAAAAAACAACAAGGCATCGTTGCTCTGGGCGATTCTCCTTCTAGCTGCCAGCCGGGGCTTGGCTGGGGGGTGGGGAGGGCAGACCCTCTCAGGCACCTCCAGCCTCCTCCTTCAATCTCCTCATCTATAAAATGGGAGTAACCTAGTCACATGGGGTCATCCTGAAGATGAAATGACCAACTTGGCAACAGTTCCTTGTACAGTGCCTGGCACACGGTAGGCCTTCAGTACATGGCAGCCTCCTTCTGTCCCCCAGCACCTTGGAAATAACAAAAGAAAGGACACTGGTTGTAGAGGAGGGGAGAGAAGGAAGAGCAAGTCAGACCTGGCTTCACTTCTGGCTTGCTGTGTGACCTTGGCCAACTTACTTTCCCTCTCTGGGCCTTCTGACTGTCTCTGCATATCCTCTGGGCAGTTGACCACTTTTGTACATTCACAATAAGAAGGCAGGAATAGAGAGATTTCCTGTATTTTCCAAATTCCCTGTAATAAATCCCGGTGGTGGCACGGCGTGGGGAGGTGGCTGTGGGGCAGGCACACCCAGGTTCCCAGCCTGGCTCTGGCACACACCAGCTGTCACGTAACTTGATTGAGCCAGGGTGACCAATCTCCCCAATTTCCCAGGACTGAGGGTGTCCCCAGGATGTGGACTCTGAGTGCTAAAACCAGCAGGGTCCAGCAGCAAACTGGAATGAGTTGGCCACTAACTGAGCCTGTTTCCTCTTCTATAAACGTTTAAGGGTTAACAAAGCTCCCTGCCCATTGTCCCCCCACCAGAATATAAGCTCCAGGAGAGCAGGGACTTTTGTCTTCTGCTCTATCCCCAGAGCCTAGAATAGTGCCTGGCCCATAGCAAGGATTCATAAGTGACTGACTGAATGAATGAATGAATGAATGAGTGAATGAGTGAATGAATGAATGGAGTTCTTAGAATCAAAAGAGAAAATACTCATAAAGTGCTAGGGAGCTCATAAATGACAGCAGTGATTATCATCAGTCCCAATTTGCAGATGAGGCAGCAGAGGCCGGATTGAGCAGGGTGAATTATTTGAGGTCACAACATGAGTTGGAGGAACAGCACGGGTGTGAACCCAGCTCTGCCTTTTCCAGGACCTGAGTTTTTTGCATTCTCACGCCCCCTAGAAAACCAGTAAAGGATCGAGAAAAAAAGGAGCTGCTTATGTAATAGAAGTATGTGAGGTGAGAGAAGAAGAGTGTTTGAAAACTCTTAGAAGGTTTCTGGGCAGTGAGAGAAAGTCTTTGGACTGAGCAGAGCGGGTACATGGCACATCTCCCATAACGAGGCTGGTTAGGTGTGTGAAAGCTTATGGGCAGGAGCAGTGTCACACGCCCAAGAAAAGAGCATGAGAGAGGACCCAGTGCCACTTCTGGAACTAGCTGGCAAGATAAAGAGGGACAAGTAACAGCACGGGGCTCAGTTTCTCCAGTATGTAAAATTCTAAAGATAAGCAAGACGCCATCACGCAGGTGGGGAAACTGAGGCCCAGAAAAGAGAAGCAACACTTGGCCAAAGTGACACAACCAGGCCAAAGTCACCCATTTGTGAAAAAAAGGATTTGAGGGGTCTTGGGGTTAAAAAAAAAATCTCTGTAAAAGTCAGGAATAGGTCACATCAAGAAAAGGGCTGCAAAGTGGAGGTAAACAACGATAGTAGCTGCTAGATTTTCAGCTCCTAGGATTGTGCTAAGAACTTTACACGCATTATCTACTTTAATCTTCTAGCAGTTCTTGGGGTTATCATTATGCCCATTTTACAGATGAGGCAACTGAGATTCAGCCAGCCAGCTGGTGAGAAGCACAGCCCAGGTCAGTCTGACTCCCAAGTGAAAAATCTGAGGGTCAAGCAGGTGAAGAGAAACACCCATGGTTCAGGGTCCAGCATTGAAAAAAACACATAAAATACCCCAGATGCAGGAATTTTTAGTGTGTTAGTAATAAACATAGAATTGAAGAGGGAAAACGTGTCTAAATCAATTATCTTAATAAACTATGTGAATCAAATTTGGTACTGATTACAGCAACTCTGTGTGTGTGTGTGTGTGTGTGTGTGTGTGTGTGTGTGTGTGTGTGTTAAAGTGCAATATAAATGCATGAGCTTCTTATTAGAAGCAGGAGCCAGACTGTAGGATCTGACAGACCCAGCCTCAGGTAAAATCACTCATGAGTGTGGGCAGTGATCTCCTGGACGCACATGGACACAGTTCAGTTATTAAATCAGCCATTTTCTCATTGTTGCTGATGTGTTCATCAGTGTTTCAGTTTGCCTTCATTTTATGCCATTACTTCAAACAAGCCTGCTTGGAGTGTGCATCCAGGAAGACGCAAACAGCTGGGTTATTACGTGTGTGTGTGGTGTGTGTGGTGTGTGTGTGTGTGTGTGTGTGTGTGTGTGTGTGTGTAATTATAATGTCTACAGAAGTGTGGAGCAGGAAGGGAATAATTTTGGCACTCAGCCACTTGCCAGACACATGGAGATGGAGGACAGATGTCCTCTTGCTTAATCTTCTCAGATGCTCTAGAAGGTTCTACAGAGGTGGGACTGAGCGAGGTTTAGAGAGGAAGTCAGTCTCCCAAAGTCACACAACCAGCGTGGGCGGGCGTTCGGATCAGGACCCGGTTCTAACGGAGCTTCCGGCACTGTACCAAGAAACTATTTAGGCAGCCAGCAATAAGGTGGCACCAACAATTTCTGCTTGCCTTAGCGTCTCGGATTTGTTTGTGTATAACCCCTGTTGTCCCTAGAAATGAATTTGATGGCTACGTGTACATGGCAAAGAATAGGAAAGACTTACTCTGAAAGGATCAACAAGTCAGGGGTAAAGCATTTGAATGCACATAGCTTACACCATATGGCTACTTCTAATGAAACCGATATTTTCAGAGTTTATCTTTAAAATGGAACAGATTCTATAAATACTCGACAATCAGGCTACCAGCTCACCACCCCCAAAATAATAATAATAATTACCACTTATTGAGTACTTGTTATGTGACCAGTTCTGTGCTAAGCATTTTACATTAATCACCTCTTTTACTACTCTCATTAACCCTGTAACAGGTGAGTTATAGTCCCCATCTCCCAGATGGGGAAACCGAGGCTTGGAGAGGCGAAGATGCTTACCTGAGGTCCCTGCCCAACTCCATGGCTGTCACCTACCTCAAGCTCTAAGTTGACACTGAGAGGACATTGGAGTTCTGCTGTGCACGCCCACCTCACACACACACACACACACACACACACACTCCCACTCACCTGGTGTGACAAACTTCAGGAGGAAAGAGGTAGCTGCTGTGGGCACAGAGTCCTGTCTCCTGAGGGGAGGCTCCTGATTCTGGGGCGTCCTGTCCTGAGCCCTCTGTTTTGCCAGCCGGGACTGGAGCTCAGGGTCAAAGTCTGGAGTTATGGACAGGCTTGGCGCTGCACTGCTCACAGGGGCTGGACCCGGGCCAGGCTGGAAGACCTCACCTCCCCTCGCTCCCAGTCCCTGAAAAGCTGCCTGCCTTTTTTGGCTGATCCTAACTGAGCTCCTGTGTACAGGCTTCGGAGGGAGGAAGTAAAGGCAGGCGGGGGTGCTTGGAGGGCTGATGGGCAAACGGAGCTCCGTCTCCCAGGCCGGCTGGAGACAGTCCTCTTTGTTCCCTCCTGCCTGCTGCCACCCTGTGGGAGGGTTGGGTCGGTCCCTGGCCTGAAGGGTAGGGGTGGTTAGCCTGGCAGCTCCTGAGGGGAGGCCAGAGGTACAGGATAGAGGCTTCCAGGGCCAGCCGGCCAGCCCGGTGCCATTCTGGGGCGCTAGGTGGATGACGCTAAGGAGAGACTTGAGGTGATGGCTATGTGGGCCATGCATCCTCATGGCCCTTTGCTCCTGTATCCCAGAGACACGAGGGGCAAGGCTCTAGGTCCCTCCTCTGCCAGAGCTAGGCCTGGACCTGTGATTCTTAGAGCCCTAAGATCATCAGGTGCCTCATCGTATGTGAGGGGCGAGGGGAGGCCCAGAGACAGGGACCAACCAGCCCTGGGTGAGGCATCCTTTGGGTCAGCTTTGAAGGTGCAGCCTCTACCCCCCTACCTTTAGCATTATCACATAAAAAGGTGAAGAAGAAATAAAAAAATTCATGTAAAATACTTAATGCATAGCATTTTTCTTTAATAAAAAAAGGATGGGGTAAACTTCACCTTTCACGCTATATACTTCCATTTTTGTTTGAATTTTTTAAAAACAATAGTCATGTATTACTTTTATATTACACGACCTTAGGAAAATTCCCTGTGCCTCTAGTTTATCATGGAAACACTTAAAAGTTAACAAAAGTTAGCCAGATATCTTCATGCTCCCGCCAACTCCCATCCTAGCAATGGTTTATGTTTTGTGAAGTTTAATGTCCAGTTTAAAATACTTTACCTGAATTATTTCATTTAATTTCACAACAGCCCTATACACTAAGTGCTATTATTATTATCCCTCCCTTCAACTAAAAAACTTGGTCCCACTATCCATTAAAGCTAAACATATGCCTCTCCTAAAACTCAGCAACCCTAGTTTTATGTACATACCCAAGAGAACTGAAAACATACATCAACTAAGAGGCTTGTACAAGAGCATTCGTAGACCCAAAATGGAGACAATGAAATGTTTATCAGCGAGAGAATGGATAAACAACTGTGGTGTTTTCAGGCAATTCACACCATGGAATATTATACAGCAATGAAGAAGACAAATACACACAACAACCTGATGACTCTCACAGTCATTATGTTGAGCAGAAGCTAGATAGAAAAGAGCCCATACTTGGGTCGGCCGAGTGGCGCGATGGTTAAGAGCTGGCTTGGGACGCCAGAGGGCCCCGGTTCAGATCCCACATATGGGGGCCAGTGACACTGCCCTCCACAGCTAAGATGCTGAACAACAGCT